GTGATTAATATGAATTGGGTATAAAAACGCAAAAAATGGGATTGAGATGGTGAGTAGGGTTTCCATTTTCCAAATTATCACCTATGGCAGCATCCGAACAATGATCTTCCATTTCCCAAAAAAAAAAAAAAATATTCACCCTTAAAATGTGTAGGGTTTCCATTTTCCAAATTTCCAGATTCGTTATTCCGCTTTGAAATCGTATGTTCTTAAAGATGTTCACGATTTCAAGGATGAATTTTTAAATCAATCTCAACACATGCGCGGTGAAACCGAGATGTTATTTACAGATCTAGCGTTGTATCAACAAAGATCAGGCCAATTTACGCAATGGTGTAGTGAAATGAAAGGTGATTTCATGTTTAAAAATTTTACTTTTAGCTTTCGCTAATCGATTTTCCTATTTGGATTTAAATTCAGGTCAATAAGCTCATTGTATAGCAACAGATATTTTGTATTTATCTCAAAGAATTTTTCACCCCACTACACAAGATTCAAGATTGAGGGTCTTGGACCAACCAATAGAAATTATGCTAGAATTTATAACACTAATGACACTGAGAGTTGTACACAATGTTTGATGATGGAATAATTTGTATGAATTTGTATATATTTAAATTCAGAATCGTGTTTCGTGGGCCAACCAGTAGTAATTATGCCAGAATTTATAATGCTGATGAAACTGAGAATCTAAACAATGTGTGATGATAAACGAATTTGTATGGATTTGTATACTTGTAGAATCATAATCATGCTTATGCTCCATTTGATCAAGCATACAACTAATAATTGTCTTAAATAAGGAACAAATGGAGATTCAGACTTGCTTGGATTTAAGTGTTGTTTGTTTCTGTGCCTAAAGATCGGAGTGAAATATATATTATAACACCCATTAAGTTTAAGTTCTGTATGCAGAAGTCTTCTCGGCTTTCTTAAGACGATGCGACCGCCTGACATTGAATTCATTTTGAGCTGATGTTCAAGATTGAGCTGCCACTATAGCTAGTGTAAGCTTTGCCTTCTCAATTTTGTAAGTTTTATGCCCTTTTCTTGAAATGTTCGGATACATTATTATTTAGTTAACTCTTTTATGTGTTTCATAAGGTTGTAGGACTGCGAAACAGAGACTAAAAGTTAGTCCGAACTCTGTTAAGAATTAACATGATTAGCGTTAGGGGTAAGCATCCACATCTTGATCTGGTTTAAAATTCGTATCAGTTAAGGAAAAAGAGAGGTAAAATCAGTCGGGCCCCTACAACAACACCCATCAACATAGCCTATTGACATATTCAATTAATTATATTGATTATTCATTCACACAACTGAGTGTGTCGTTTTGAGATATATTGATATATATCTATTTATTTTATGTTTGCATTTCTGAGAGCAACCGCTAACAATAACCGATAGAGATTCAATGGCTTCGGTTGAAGTTCCACTAAAAGATGTCGATTCAAGACGGAAGCCACCGTCTTCAAGTTTGCAATTCAGGGCATTATATCCCTGCTCTCGGTCACCTGGTCGAGTAAGGAAAAGAAAGATATAATTGTTGTTATTTTTATGTGCTTAAATTTCTAGATCTTTTGGATTTTGGTGCTTTGGTTGTATAGCTTAAGATTTTGCATATATTGAATGTGTTAGTGTGTGCTTTGGTTGTATAATAGCTTATGTTTCACCTTGTTTTTATGTCGATCTAGACAAAACTTACAGATTACATAATAAAACTAAAAATTTATACTGTTATTATTATTTTATTTTTTAATTTTGGATGTAGCATAATTGATTCAAACCAAAAATTATTGTGTAAGAATATTTGAAATGTGTACTCTTTCTGAGAAAATATAGAGTATTAAACTGCTTAGTGGCTGAAACCATGTCATTTTATATGAAAGTGTCTAAAAAATTGTGAAGTGTTCAATTCTTGTTTATTGTTGTTAGGATTTGTGGAGGCTGAAAGAAGATGAAGATGGGAAATACTTTGAGGCTATTTGTTTTTTACAAAACTGGGGTGAAGTTTACTACAACAAAGGTATGTCCAATCACACTAATCTTATACTGTAGTATCCTCATAGTACTCTAAACTATTACATAAAAATCAATAGTTAATCGTTGTTGGAATTACCTTGCACTGGATTTTCACTATTGGTTGATTTCCTTTTCTTCATATTCTTTGGTTGTGATTTCTGTCCTTTAGAATAGTCTCTGTCCATTGCACACTTGTGAAATTGTTTTTTCAAAATGTCACCTACAGAAAATTGTTTTTACAAAGTAACATCAAAAGGCATCCATTATACACCAAGTATAAAAATAAATTTTCAACTGGAACATATAGAAAAGACTACTCATCTAAACTGTTGTACATGATTGTCTTCTTGTATGTGAGTCTGTATCTGTGTCTGTGATGTATGTTAAAGACCATCAGCCATGCCAACAATCATCAACTAAAAAAATGTTTGAGTATAAGCAAAAGTCTGAACTTTTGAAAAAAAAAAGAATAGAACTGAATGGTTGGATAGGATTTGGTTGAACAATACGCATGTTAGACTGTGATATGATTTTATTAGGTTTTTCGTAATAAAAACGTATAGGATATAATTGTGATATAATTTTGCAGATCAGATCATGCAAAGGAAAGATCATGGAAGAGATTGTTTTGATTCGACCATATCATTCAGGCACAATATTTGACCGATTTTGTTTTCTGCCGACTGTATAGATTTCTTAATAAAATCTTAATTTATTTATTTCCTACCCGGTTTGAAAGAACAACAGAGGAATATTCAGTTAGCCGCATTTAGACGCAGTATTTGACCAATTTCATTTGAACAGATTTTACTAATTTTGTAATAAAATATTAGTTTTGATTTATTTCCTTCTCGGTTTAACAAATTGAAGATTCATTTAGCCGCATTTTTTACTACAAATATTATGGTCAAATTTTCTTGCTTTTTTAAAAAAAAAAATCTGTTTGTAACATCACTCGTAATCACCAAATGAATATTGTACAGATTTTATTCTTTTGAAATTCGAATTTTCAAACAATTACCGCTAATTCTTAAATTATTTACTAATAAAAGTAAAAGTAAATTTAAATTATTTACTAATAAAAGTAAAAGTAAATTATTTAGGCAGGAAATTAGTTATTATTTCAGCTAAATGTTAAACCTTTTTATATGTATATAGATATAGATGCTACAAGTACAACATAAATGTCCATAGATGTGTACATAACACTCACATGAAATGAGGTCCATTAATTTTTTTTTTTATTTTTGGTGGGTCCCATTAAATGTGAATGTTATGTACACTCATATGTACAATATTATGTATTTATAGAAGTTCTCTACCATTTTATATATCTTACGTGCATTTGCGCTGACAATCGTACTAGTTTATTTAAACTAGTGAGAATCCCGTGCGATGCACGTGGCTTTCGTTAAAAAATATTTTTTTTAAAACTTTATTTTAACAATATATTAGTCCGTTGATCCGTTTATATTAATATAAATAACATTTTAACATATATATTTAGTTGTTAATAAGAAAATAATAATTTTACATATTCTGGTTCACTATAATATCCAAATATTATTTTATTCAAAAATTTATTGTCGTATAATGTTAATATTATCATTAACATTCATAGAAGTAATATCACCCCTATATATAATTCCCGAATGCGCTGAGTCTACGTGGTTGTTTCTGGTGCTTCGTAATCCTGTTTGGCAAATAATCATGCTTCATAATTAAGTTTGGACAAATAATATTAATATATAAAAAATTAATAATTTAAGTTCAGACATTCCATATATATTATTAACCTAACTTAGATAGTTTAATAACACATGTGCTAATATAATCTTTTAAGTTTCGATTGGTACAAATTTGGTTGCACCTTAATTTTACTTTGTTGCTTTTTTAGTTGGAGCAGCCCAATTAAAAAGAAAAGAAAAAAGTTTAAGAGAAAAATGGCCCCAAGGTCAAGCAGGGGCAAAAGGAACAAAGCCTAGAATGAGAAGAAGAAGAAAGAAGAGAAAGGTAATTTCTTAAGTTCTCGTCAATTTATTTATTTATTTATTTTCATTGTAATT